GGCTGCTTTGCTTCTCAGATCTTCAGCTTGAAGCTTGAACCCCAATATCCATCTCTAGGTCTTTTATTTTTCGTGCAACATACCAATCTTGGGCATACACCCAAAAGATGCTCAATCATATCACAAGGACACTTGCTCAACTATGGTCATAGCAGCATTATTCATAATAGCCAGAACCTGGAAATGACCTAGATGCCCCTCAACCGAAAAATGGGTAAAGAAAATGTAGTACATTTACACAATGGAGTGTTACTCAGCTGAAAACAAAAACAAAAAACAATGACATCATGAAATTTGCAGGCAAATGGATGGAACTAGAAAAAAATCATCCTGAGTGAGGTAACTCAGACCCAGAAAGACAAACATGGAATGTACTCACTCATAAGTATGTATTAACTGTAAAGTAAAGGATAACCATGCTGTGGCTAAGAATCTACAGCCCCAGAGAAACTAGGTAACAAGGAGGATCCAAAGAGGGACACATGGATTTCCCTGGGATGGTGAATTAGAAGAGATATCCTGGGTATACTGGGGGTAGGGTGAGGAGTGGAAACATGAGAGTTCAGGTTGGGTAGATCAGAGGCTGGATAGAGCGGGAGAATACAGAAAAAAATTTCTTGATGGAGGTGTTGCATTTCGGGGTTAGGTAGAAACCTGGTGCCAGGGAAATCCCCAGAAAACTACAAGGATGACCCCAACTAAGACTCCTAGGAATAGTGGAGAGGGTAACTGAACTGACCATCTCCTGTAATCAGATTGGTGACTATCCTAATTGTCATCTGAGAGCCTTCATTCAGTAACTGATGGAAGCAGATACAGATATCCACAGTCAAACCCTGGGCATCCCGTTGAAGAGAGGGAGGAGGGATTGTACAAGCCAGGGGGTCAAGGTTGTGATGCGGAAACCCACAGAGACAGCTGACCTGAACTCATGGTGGGAGCACACAGACTCTGGACCAACAGCTAGGGAGCCTGCATGGGACCAACCTAGGCCCTCTGCATGTGTGTGACAGTTGTGTAGCTTGGTCTGTTTGTGGGGCTCCTAGCAGTGGGATCAGGACCTGTCACTGGTGATTAAGTTGGCTTTTGGGAACCTATTCCCCATGCTGGGTTGCCTCACCCAGCCTTGACGAAGGGGGAGGAGCTTTGTTAATTTCAGGACATTAGGGGGAGGAGCTTTGTGTATCATGCTTTGTTAACAGCTATGGGAGGCCTGCTCCTTTCTGAGACAGAGGAGTGGATGGGATGAGGATGGGAGGAGAGGAGGGATAGGAAACTGAGGTGGAGATGGAAAAATAAATGAAAAAAATTTAAATGTAATATTTAAAAGAACAGAACACACTTCCCAGCATGAATGAGAGGAAACTGCAAACCACAGTGCCTTCCCAAATTTACAAATCGAGTGCAACTGGGTAATAAAAGGACTTTGGAATTGTATAATAATGGGATAGGCTGACTAGAAGCAAGGAAGTAAAGGTACTTATAAACTCCAGATAAACATATGAGACCAGAACAGATCTTGGAGCTGAGAAAGAGAAAACTCAGAGGTATGGGAGAAGCTGCAGAAGTCCACTGAAACCACTCTGCCTTCCTTTCTTGGTGGGTATGAAACAGGGCTGGACTGTTTGGGTGGGTTCACTGACTCATTTTATTCTCTGGGTTGGAGAGAGGAAGCCAGTGCTTGAATCTGTATTGAGACAGTTGATAAAGGAGGAAAGAGAAACCCAGAAATGAAGACAAACACTATAAAGCAGGTTACAGGTGCTTCAAGTATATCTATACACGCATGTATATACATAAATCTAACGATAAAAACAGTGGGCGCAGATGAATGCAAGTCCATGAATGGTAACCAACAAGCAGGGATACCATGTGGTGACCATGGGCTCACGCGGAACAACAGAGACACAGAAGCACTTGGTTTCTGAATATGAGTCATTAAAGATGTTTCTTTCTGGAAAATAAGGGGGGGCAGTCATCTTTCCCTGGGTCAGCGATTTTTATATTTTCTGAAAGATGATGTCTTTAGATGTGTGTGCTGCATGGTTCTGCGAAAATGTTGATGAGTCACTCTGATGTTTCATTATATGCTATAATATATTCTAAATGATAGCTACCATCTCCATGAAAAACAAAAAAGAGGTAGAAAGAAATTACAATTGTACTTTCCCATCTTTATTTGAATTAGCTTATTGACTAGTTTTTCTCTTATTGTTGTAGAACCTGGGTTTTAGAGTTCATCAAAACTTTGGTGTTTTTATGTATTCATATGCTTAAAAAATAGTGTGGTAGTTCTCATTTTTTTATAATATGATGATAAATAATTTATCAACTGCTGAGTGAAAAAAGGAACCAACTCTATTTTTTTAAAAAAAAAATCCACCGGGCATTGGTGGCACACGCCTTTAATCCCAGCACTGGGAGGCAGAGGCAGGCGGATCTCTGTGAGTTTGAGGCCAGCCCGGTCTCCAAAGTGAGTGCCAGGTAGGCGACTCCAAAGCTATACAGAGAAACCCTGTCTTGAAAAACAAAAACAAAAACAAAAAAACCAAAAAAATATCCTGGCTCAGGACTGAACTCACCGACTTTCCCTTATGTGGATCCTCATTTTGATTGGATAATCTGTTAATCTGTCCTCCTGGCATCACTTTCATATCTACACACTGAGTCATTTGGTATGAACCCAAAAGTACAGAACTGGGTCTCTTCCTAATCATTTCCTACAGCCTGATCTGGCACAGATACACCCTGAGGCTGGCTAGCACGGGTTTTTAAGAGTCAGGTATTAGCAGTCTGTGTTCTGTGTGAAACTTCCATATGCAGAAACTAGGTAACATACGAAATCAGAAACTGATGGTAAATAAAAGTCCTGAAATTTTCCTAATGGATTCATTAGAGTCAAAAATATGCAATGACCACCAGCAAAGACAATAATATTCTTGGTGTGTGCATTTATCTCTGTCTCTTTCTTCCTTACCCTCTCTCACAGGACAATCATTTCATTGTATACAGTTTTTAAGCCCAGGAAAATTCTTGTTCTGACTCATTACTATACCCCCATATCCTGTCTCCTTGCTCTTCACATTGATCTTTTGAAGTTCAAAAGACCCTTTTTACCAAATGGACTCACATCCTTTACTTGAAATACGACTTTGAGTTCTAATAACGCAATAGTCGCTGCTGCTTATCACACTCTTGTTCTATGCTGGGAATATTAAATTTATTTTTTTAGATTTCATTTTACATTCCAATCAATGTTCTCCCTCCCACCCCTTCTCCCACCTCTCCCTCACCTCTCCCCTAGCCCATCTCCCATCCACTCCTCCCAACAGGTAAGGGCTCCCATGGGGAGTCAACAAAGTCTGGCACATTAAGTTGGGGCAGGACAAAGCCCCTCCCAGCTGCATTAAGGCTGAGCATGGCATCCCACTACAGGGAATGGGCTCCAACAGGCTAGCTCATGCACCAGGGATAATAGATCCTGGTCCTACTGCCAGGGGCCCCTCAGATAGCCCAGGCTCCACAAATCTTTCTCACATAATGGAGGGTCTAGTTCAGTCCCATGGAGGCTCCATTAACTGCTGGTCTAGAGTTCATGAGTTCCCTCAATCTTGGTTCAGCTGTCCCTGTAGATTTCTCCATCTTGATCTTGATCTCCCTTGCTCTTAAAACAGCTTTATGAAAATCACCATCATTCAAACTTTGTACCAGCCATTTAGATTCACTGTTTTGCAGCTTAGATGCAGGAACTAACAGGGATTTAATTGAGAAAGCTGTTCAAGGCACCACAGTTTAGTGATCTATCAGGCTGGAGACTAAAAAGATCTGGAATAGTACTTAGTCTCAGAAACTGGATCTACAAAATGCATGCATGGTTCCTGTTTCAATAGTATTTGCATGTCATGAGGAATCACTCCTTATAGCCCTAGAAGGAAAGTATTCTTTTATTGTTTTTAGCACTGTTTTGTAGAGAAATAAAAGCAAAGAAAGTTCAACAAACTTGCTAAACACATAGCTGGTGTCAGCCAGAATTCTAACCCCAAAATGATGCTTATAATTGAACACAGTACACACCCACTGTGGTATTTAATGAATGTTATCCGAAAGAGGTCATTTGAAACCTGCTGAAGAGAGGCTTCAGTAACTATCTTACTGTTAATCAGTTATAGCAACAGATAGGAAACTATATTGATGTCCATAATGCAACTTGACAGTAAGGAAGGTGGTCTAAGATTAAAATTATTTGTTTGAGGAAGTTACTAGCTCACATATGGCCACTGATGTTAGTCTCCCTAATGCTATTTATATAAACTGCTCTTGTGGGTTCTTATTCATTCAGCATCTCAGGCCCAAAGTGGCCAAGGGGATTTTGTTGGAAGTAAGTCTCCATGACTAAATGTGAACAAAAATCACTCATAATCCTTAAAGAAAGTAGAAGGAAACTGCATACCAAAAACACTGTGTTCAGTGACCTTGGGTTCATTTTTGAGATCTCTGCAAACCATCTTCTTGCTTCACAGATGTCAAAGAGCACTATAGGAGGGATGTCTTCATCATTTGTCTAAAGTATGAATTATATAACCAACCTATTGGTGCATAAAACCACTGGCATTGTAATAGGGGTACTTACTCAGACCATGTGTTCAGAGTCCTGACATTTCAGTCCTCCCTGACTTCTGTTGCCCTTCAGAAACAATGAACTCAGGAAAACACACATGCGTCCATGTGTGTTTGCATACACACATATACATGAATACACTGCAAAACTAAATGTGAAGAACTGAAAATTAAATGTATTCCCATCATCCCCTCTTTTGAGCCCCAGGATATACAAGATTCCAAGGTCAAATGAGAATCATATTTTTATTGCTTGTCATTACAATATGTGTTCAGTTGCTCTCTCCCACTTGCATAGAAAATTGACACTTGACAAGATTTCCTTTCATTTCTTACCTTGATAAATGTGTTACTTTTATATGTTTTCTATTGCTTAGGACATAATGACATCTTCCCAGACAACCACCTACCCCGGAATGCATGTCACCATTCCCAATCCTTACCCACCAACAAGTTCCATGGCTCATCATCCTCAACAGCCTCTGGGTATTTTAAATGTAGGAAACCAAGTACAGACTGGGCAACTTCCCTTCATTACATCTCCAGGAATCTTCACTACCAATCGGTTTGGTCCAGAAAATGTGCCAACGGTGCATCCAGCTCCAGTAACAACAACAACCAAAGCCAACTTTAAAGATGAAGCAATAGCTCTTGGGGTGAGTGTATTGTCACTAGAATTTTTAATGTTGCAATTGCAATGTTTCCATGCATCTGTCAGTTACAATAGTATATTGTCCAGTGAGCAAAAATATTTGAGGATTATTCTGATAACTGTGTTCTGCCCAGAAAGAAATGATCAGTCTGTGTATGAATTACCCTGAGCTACTTCATTTTAGATTCAGTCGTGTGTCTAACAGTTGACAGAAGACTCCCTAGCAGGATGATCCAGTAAAATGGCGAAGTGACAGAAGCCTAACAACTTCTTGCTTGATCTCACTGCTGTGGAAGTCTTTTTAGACAACCTCCTCTCTGTCTTTGGATTTGTTACAAATGTATATTCCTATAAAGATAAATCATCTTTAAAGAGATCATTGAAAACTGTTTTAAATTCCTCTATTGAGAATTGTCTATTTAGTTCTGTACCCAACTTTTTAATTGGATTGTTTGGTGTTTTGGAGACTAGCTTCTTAAGTTCTTTGTATATTTTGGAGATCAGCCCTCTGTCAGATGTGGGGTTGGTGAATATCTTTTCCCAGTCTGTGGGCTGTCGTTTTGTCTTGCTGACTATGTCCTTTGCCTTACAGAAGCTTCTCAGTTTCAGGAGGTCCCATTTATTAATTGTTGATCTCAGTGTCTGTGCTACTGATGTTATGTTCAGGAAGCAGTCTTCTGTACCAATTCATTCAAGGGTATTTCCCACTTTATCTTCTAATAGGTTCAGCGTGGCTGCATATATGTTGAGGTCTTTGATCCATTTTGACTTAAGTTTTGTGGAGGGCAAAAGGCTTGGGT